ATTTGTCGAGTTTCAGGTTAGTATTCTACCTAATGAATCAATTTGTTTATTGTTTTTGCTGTTAATGCAGAATTTAAAGGAGAGGCTGTCATGTCACAGGACTTCAGTGATGAGTGGGAGCTGAGCAAAGAGAATGTGCAGCCCCTGCGGCAAGGACGTGTCATGTCCGCCTTGCAGGAGGCACTGGCTCATCAGGAGACCTCCACCCACACTGCTGTTCACCTCAAAAAACAGTGAGCAGTATTTTGAAACCTTCTTTCCCCTTATCTTCCTGCTGCCTCATGATTTTTTTTCTCTGTCTTCTCTAACTGTACTAATCGTATATGCATTAAAATAAGCATAAAAGAAGTTTGGTAACTGATATCTATGCTACTGTCACCTTCCAGGTATTTAGGAGTACTTGCTGTGGGTGCTGTACCACATAGACTGCTGTTTTTAGGTTTGCAGTAGAGTATTTAAAAAGTAAATGCTAGGGAGGCTTCACTGTGCTTTTACATGTAACTGTTTTTAGGTTTGCACTAGAGTATTTAAAAAGTAAGCGCTAGGGAGGCTTCACTGTGCTTTTACATGTACTCATTAAGAAAAATACATATAGATTACAAGGAGGAGAGCTTTTTTAATCTTTCCTACAATAATCTGTTGAAACATGCTATTTCTCAGTGCATCACAGTGAGATGCACTTATTGCTATCACGGTGTAGGCACTATACAGATATCTCTGTATGTCTTCTCTGGATTGCAAAGACACCTGAGTGGGCAAAGTCAGCTTGGGTTTGGTCTGCCTTGCAAGCAGTATTCCACGGGTATGACTGTGTGACTTCATGGGGCATCTTGTGTCCCAAACTTATTCAGTGTTGTCTTAGTTGATCTAAGTCTTGTTGATGAGACTGATTTGTCTGATCTTCAAATTCGCATGCTCTGTGAAGGCCAAGGTGGCTTTGTGAAGAGTCTGCATGGTTGTGTCTGTACTGTGTTATCAGAACTCGGAAGCACTGGTGCTTATAATGCTGAACCATGTGGGTGATTTCATGTGAAGTCTGCAGGTCCATGAACACCTGCACAGTACTTACTGAACCAGAGCTTATCAGCTGGATCTGGGTTGGGGTTTTTGTTTTGGTTTTGTTCTTTATTTCTTTGGTTTGGTGTTGGTTTTTTTTTTTGCCATGGAACTTTTAATTGTACTGGCCTCTTGCCATGGGATCGGAGATTCCCTGGAATGAGACACACATCTTTAGAATTACACACATGTATTTATTGGATGGTTATTTTTTTATTTATTTTTTTTTTAGGGAGTTTGAATCAGAAATCCGATTTTACTCTGGAGATGATCCACTGGATGTCTGGGACCGGTAAGTTTCTTATTTCAGAAGAAAGCATAGAAGTCACATATCTTTGTAAAAGCTTGGGAAAAATTATAAGAAAAACATTAAAAGAGTCTATAACAGTTGTTGAATAATATGTTGTGTTTCAATACTATGCCTATTTTTTTTCTAAATTTCCTTATTTTACATGGAAACAGAAGCCTTGTATCGTATTCAGAACTGACTTCCTATGAATATATTTCATCTGTAGGTACATCAAGTGGACAGAGCAAACCTTCCCCCAAGGTGGAAAGGAGAGTAATCTCGCAGCAATATTGGAAAGGGCAGTGAAAGCACTCAATGAAGAGCAGCGATACTACAAAGATCCCCGCTATCTTAATCTCTGGCTCAAGTTTGTGAGTGGTTTGTGAATATCTCTTGGGTGGTGCTCTTTCTTGGTACTTGTCGTGTCACACAGTCATGCACACAGTTAAGCTGATTTTTGTCACAACAGAGTCAAAGAATGCTGTACAACTAGTGCAATACTAGAAGTATCTCTCGGCAAAAATGTTACCTGCTCTTGAATTCCACTTCCCATTTTGAATAGAATCTTCAGACTATTTTAGGATCATTCAGCTTGGACAGCTACAAACTCCATAAGTCTTGTTTTGGAAAAGCTAGTTTCAGTGAGTAGATCTTATTTATTTAGGGAGAAAGTGTTTTAGAGATACCTTTTTTAGGTGTTATGTCATTCCTACCAGTTATTTTAACTTCTAACTGTCTTGGACCCACATCCTATGCTAAAGCAAAACTAAGCTGAGTGTGTTCTGGCCTTGTCCTGTCTCTCCATTTTTATAGTTTTTGTTGTTCTCATCTTCTTAAAGCAGCTTTTTTCCAGGTGTAGATTCCTGAGTGTCATGGTTTAACCTGGCAAGCAGCTCTCACCCTGGTGGGATGGGGAAGAGAATTGAGAGAGAAAAAGTAAAGAATTCACCAGTTTAGATAAAGGCTGTTTAATAATTAAAATAAACTAAACTGAAATATTAGTAATAATACCAATGAACTGCAACAAGAATAGGAACAATGGTAATAAAGCAATCACAGTTACACTTGGCTCACAAACACTGTGAGCTATATACCAATGAAAATGCGACAAGGGAGGGGTGAGCCTCAGGAACTGAGATTGGATGCCATCATGAAGTAGAAAGGGAAGGAAAGAGAAAGGATTGAAGGTGGGTTTAAAGAAAGGAAGCAAACTTTTGGAAAGGACACTGCAAGATCCCTAACTTAAAATGAGTGTGACATTTATGGGATAGAATATATCTGTATTGGTCAGCTTGGATTACACCCAGATCATCTGTCATGTGTCACCTGTCCTAGAGAATCCCAGGTTTTCGCTTCCCTCCTCCTCCCATCCTCTTGTGCAGAGAGAGGAGGAAAAAAGCCAAAACCCCAAAAGAAACACATCTGAACACATATTTAGGTAGAGACTGAAAAACAAACCTTAAAAAAAGGTAAACATCTGCTGGTGAGAATAAAAAAATCGCACCAGCTACTATAAGGAAAATGACTGTCCAGGAAAACCAGGAAAATAAGAAATATGTTATATTTTATCTAAAGCTAAAATATTTTCAGGAATACTAATATGACAATTCAATGATTGAAGCTATCTCAGATTAAAAGAAAAAAATAATTACTGACTTTGAATATGTAGGCTAGAATTAAGGGATTGGTTAGTAATATTGACAAATATATACATACAGTCAGAGGTTGTTGTTGTTGTGGTGGTTGTATTTAATTCCTTTTCTTTATCTTGCGCACTGCAACATGATAAAGTATTATGTCCTGCCCTTACAGTTGCTCCTATAAGACTTGTACTGAAATCCATGGGGTCTTGCAGGAGGCATGAAAACACGGGCATCAACTTGGAATCCTTTGTAGTCTAATGTGATTACTGAAATACTTTGGTTGTTTCAGGGAGATTGCTGTAATGAGCCCTTGGATCTGTACAGTTACCTACACAGCCAGGAAATTGGCACAACACTGGCACTACTCTACATCACTTGGGCAGAAGTACTTGAGGCGAGAGGAAGTTTTAAGAAAGCAGATCTGATATTCCAGGAAGGTCTTCAGCGCAAAGCTGAGCCTTTGGACAAACTCCAGTTCCATCACAGGTAAGCTTCCAGCTAAAAGGAAGAACTTAGGGTAGTCTTATGTTCTTTGTATCATATACCTGATATAGTGAGGTTTATGCTGACTTCTGCAATGTTTTTATCTCAGGCAGTTTCAGATCCGTGTTTCTCGACAGACGCTATTGGGGCTAGAGGAAACTCCTAATAGAGACACCGGTCTTCTGGGAGTTGTAGAACCTCAGAGAACCTCATTGGCAGATCTAAAAGGCAAGGGGAATAAGAAAGTGAGAGCCCCAATTAGTCGCGTAGGAGATGCACTTAAAGGTACATTCATTTGCTGAAACCAAGTATTATTATTGAAAAAGTTACATCTTTTTGTTGTGGAATTTGCACTTGAGTGTGATAGTTTAGAGGTTAATTTACATAAATATTTTTGCTTATAGCCACAAGCCAAACCAGAAGCTTCCAGGCTGCAACTTCTCAGCAGCTTTTAAACAATCCTGATTTTGCTGTATTTGATGAAAATTCAGCCTCTGGATCTGAGATGCCCATGCTTACACCACAGCCATGGACAGTACCTCCAGCTCCACGGGCCAAGGAGAATGAAATGAGTGCAGGACCTTGGAACTCCGGCAGGGTAAGGAGTCTCAAAATGGACTGGAAAAAAGAGAGGGAGATGTGTGTAAGCTGATGACTGCTGAAC